TAGCCAGTTTCTTGGCTAAAAGTCAAAATGTCCTTGGGTTTGTTGGCAACATACTCTGTTCCAAAGGCCAAATATGTCAAAAGTATTTGAGAGCTTTTATCTAATCCTTAAAAGATTTTAGGGTTATCTCTTCAGAGGGGGGAACATTAGAGTAGCAAAAAGCCCCATAGAAAGAAAGAAAGAAAGAAAGAAGGAAAGAAAGAAAGAAAGAAAGAAAGAAAGAAAGAAAGAAAGAAAGAAAGAAACGAACGAACGAACTTGAAGTTATCAGAAAAAAGTGATGGGAGATATGCGAGGAGTTGGAGGGGAGGGAGTGGGCATGGATTTCAGCAAAACACCTTATACGCATGTATGAAGTTCTCAATAAATTATTTATTTAAAAAAAAAGTGATCATCCCAGACAAGCCCACTTTTTATGCTGGGCGTGGTGGTGCACACCTGTAGTCCCAGCACTTGGGAGGCAGAGGCAGGCGGATCTCTGTGAGTTCAAAGCCTGTCTCGTACACAGTGAGCATTCAAGAACCGGCCTTAGAGATGCTCTCATGCTCTGCCAAAAAAAAAAAAAAAAAAAAAAAAAAAAAAAAAAAAAAGTGATCAGGTAACAATGTTTATAAATCCCCTTCAACACAAGATCTAAAATTATGAGATTATTATTATTGTTATTTTTGGTGCTGAGGATCAAACCCTGAGCTCATAAATGCAAGGCAAATACTACCACATCCTTCACCATAAGATTTTCTTTTATAATTTAAAAGTACAGTATAGGATAGGAACTTGAAAGGGTTAATAAAATTATCTTTTATAGACAAAAAATGCTGTATATGTAAGTTTAGAAAGACAAAGAAGAGCCAGGCGTGGTGGTGCACACCTTTAATCTCAGCACTTGGGAGGCAGGGGCAGGCGGATCTTTGTGAGTTCGAGGCCAGCCTGGTCTACATAGTGAGTTCCAGGACAGCTGGGGCTACAGGGAGACCCTGTCTCAAAAAGACCAAAAAAAAAAAAGACAAAGAAGAATGTGGGGATATCAGTACAGACCAATTTATAATTAGCAAATTCCCAACAAAGAGAAGTTCCACAAAACTTGAATAAGACAAAAGGAAGGTACAAGCAATGTCACTCATTCCAAATGGAGGTATTGACTTAAAATATGCCTCCCAGAATTCATACACATTCATGTAAGTAGAGTTCCAGAGGAAAACAACAGCTGTGTGGAAGGACAGCCCAAACTTAAGGCATCCGGAAATGTACTCATTTCCTAGTCTGTGTGCATCAGAAGGGCATGCTGAGCTAAACCGAACACTTGTCCTGATCTTCACTCTTACAGACTATGACCACTGTAGGACACTAGAAATTCTGTAAAATTTACACATTAACTTAGAATATAATTTCTAAGAGCTGACCATTTTCAGAAGAGATCTAAATCCTGTATTAAAGAGGTAAGAGATAATTAGGAAAGTTTAAAGATAGTTAGAAAGTTAATCCATCTGATAAAAACTGAGTCAGGCACGGTGGCGCATGCCTTTAGTTCCAGCACTTAGGAGGCAAAGTAGGTGGATCTCTGTGAGACTGAGGCCAGCCTGGTCTACACAGTGAGTTCCAGGTCAGCTGGGGCTACAGGGAAATCCTGTCTCAAAAACAAAAAACAAAAAACAACAAAGAAAAATTAAAAAAAAAAACCAACTAATTATAAACTGCAATTTGGAAACATACTTTAACATGTCAAAGAAAAAGCATGTCCAAAGATACTGTAAAGATAAATCACTATCTAAGGGAATAAAAATCTTTGAATTTAGACCCTGTAAGACAGTATCAAGGAAGTGGTAATAGTTTTCATAAGACAGTGAAAACCATTACCACTAGTCTCAAGATATTATTTATGAAGTTTCTATCTGCTTTGGAGGCAATGAATTTAAAAAGCAGAACATTTCTAAGCCTTACCTTTACAAAAATACTGGTAGGTATAAAACGCCTGAGCAGCTGATTTGTGAAGTTGGGAAATCGAAGCAAGTTGATGTTGAGAGATGGTAGCTGCTGGTACCCAGCCATCAGAGGATAGAAATTATATAACATTTCCTGTTGGGTGCCAGGTAGAATACGTAATCGAATCTAATCATAAAAAGTTAGAGAATAAAGGTCACCACATATGACTTGTTGTATATATTGTTACGTGTATATCATCACCCCTCAGTGTTTTACAAAAGATGGGCACCCAAATCCCTCCTATGAAATAGGCACCCTCTCTTCTATTCTACCTTCCAAAATGCATGGGTGAATTAGATCAACAGGAGGATGAAATGTATTATATGACACATGCATCATTTCTCAATTTCTACCAAGATCTAAAAGGCAACTCATCCCTTCTTAAGAATAAAACCATGGGCCAGGCATTGTAGTACACACCTATAATCCCAGCACTTCAGAGGCAAAGGCAGGCAGAACTCTGTGAGAGCTAGGCCAGCCTGATTTACATAGTAAATTCCAGACCTGATGGGGTTACAGGGAGATGCTGTCTCAAAAACAAAGCAGAACAAAAAAGAATAAGAACAATAGCCAGGTTATAATTTTGTTTCTTAGACCAGGTATATCTTGTGTTCACAAAATATAACATGGTAATTTGCTAAGAAGCGGCTCTTTATATTTTGTCAAAAAATGTCAACTAGTTGCTTACAGTTATTTTCTTTTAGAGATTTTACTCTAATGTTAACATAAACAACTTCAGGGGAAAAAAGTATTCAGAAATCTCAATACTTTCAGGGCTGCCAAGATGGCTCAGTGGGTAAAAGCATTTGCATATAAGCCTGTTGACTTGAGTTTGCTCTCCAGGTCCCACATAGTATTAGGAGAGAATTAAACTCCCAGTAATTGTCCTCTGACCTCCATAGGTGAGCCCGGTACATGAACGTATGGCCTGCCTACACACACAATAAAAAAGAAAAAGAACTAGAAAAAATATAAACTTGTAAAATTTTGGTATTGTTATAGTTTGTACCTATTTGTAAACAGATATATTGAAAAAAGCTTATTCACTTGTAAATGAGAAACAAGTATACATCTGTCAGGGATAACACAGGCATAGTGTTCCAAAAGCTGGTATGTTTAATATTGGGTCCCAAATTTAAAATGGTGCCTAGATGTATAACATATTTCATACTTGATTCAATTGTGCACTTAACAATAAGAATTCCAAATATGCATGGCAAAGCTGATTTGTTCAGAATAGACACATGCATGTGTTAAGACAAATGTATTCCTAAAATTAAAACTAGTTCTTGCCGGGCATGGTGGCACATGCCTTTAATCCCAGCAGAGGTAGGTGGATCTCTATGAGTTCAAGGCCAGCCTGGTCTACATAGTGAGTTCCAGGCCAGCTGGAGCTACAGGGAGACCCTGTCTCAACAAAAGACAAACAAACAAACAAACAAAAAACACCTAGCCCTTATTTATAAAGATACGTGCTGACAATTGTGGGGTGTCTGTCAACATTCTGTGTAGGCAGTACTCCCTGTGAAGTATGTTTTTGATGAGTACCAGATTTACTCATTTTAAAAACTGATAAACTTTTCCACCTTATTTGATTGAACAAATAAGAAAGGTTGAAAATTTTATTTTTAAGTATATGCACAAAATTTTACCTAGACATTCCAGAGGAAGGGAAATTCTATATAAGATCAAAATTTCTAGTTTCACAGATGGTTCAGAAGGAAAAGCAAGTTTTGAACCTTGTGCGACTGTACTTCCAAGCCCCAAATCAAGGTATGCACACATACCCCTCAGTAATAGAAGGGATCTACATTCTTCAGGAATTCTAACATGTTGTTATAATCCAGACCAATAATCAGTGAACTTGGGTTTATAAAGGAGTAAGAACCATATGTCTCCTCTTGATGTGAAAAAGATAATCAACCTCTACAGAAAGTTGAACATTTTTTTAAAAATTTACTACTACCAAAGTAACAAATAGGTTCATTGATTAAAAAAAAAAAACTCAAGTTCTTTTCATGGCCACACTTTTGTGATCATACAAGCAGTACCAAGAGCGATGACTGTACCTGTTTGAGACCTGAGAACATGAAGGCATCGCTGGGCTCCACAGAAATTTCCACATCTTGAACCAAGTCGGTCTTATTCTGTAAATTATACCTGACAGGTAAGGACTCTCTGACACGCCCAAATGATGGCAGATCTATAGAGAAAGATAACACAGTTCCCTTGGTTAAACAAAAACTTCTGCATTCTTACCTTGTTCAATAGACAAGGTAACAACACATAAGTCATAGCTTTGCTAAGAACAGTTTCTGGTTGGGCAATAGCAAAGGATTGATAACACAGGCTAAGAAGAAAGCCTCCTAAAGACAACTGACAGACTGAATTATAATTTATAAGTAAGTTTACAGATCTATAAAAGGTCTCCTAAAATATTAATCATGGTCCCTAAACCAGAATAAGCAAAAGTTGTATTTTATTGAAATTAAGTAAAACTTCAACTGATTCACTCAGATATATACTTTTTTTCCTGGAGTTCTGTCTTTTATCCTGACAGAAATCCAGAATGCATAGGAACTTGTGTGTCATCCTTGCTGAGGCCAGCTAATAGTCTCTGTGCTCTTCCAATTATATTATTTTCAAAGCTACTATACATATTATGGTGACAGCTGATAAAGTGTCTCTTGATGGAAGTATTCAGTAAAGAAAGATGAACCAGGCACATGTTGGTGCACACCTGTAATCCAAGCACTTGGGAGCCAGAAGTAGAAAAGCTGAGTTCAAGGCCAGCCTTGGCTACATAGTGACTTTGAGGCTAGCTTGAACTTCATGTGACCTTGTCTCAAAAAGGTCAAGAAAAAAAGAGTGGGGCTGGGGGCAGGTCTGAAAACATGATAGATACTATACGCTTCCTAATCTGAGACTGGCCTGGACTACATGGGATTCTATGGGGATGGGGAGAAAGGGAAATTTGATTGTATACCCCTTAATGGGAGACATATATTCTTGTCAAATATTTGAACCCAAATTTGATCAAGCCTGATGTATACCACTTTATAGGGACAGAAAAGCACTTAAAAATGGCATCATCCAATCAGCAAAATCCAGCTTCTGGAGATCCTACCAAACAACCTGGTTACTTCAGTAAACAGCAAGGAAAAGAGAAAGTAGAGGAGGAAAAGATGGAAGTAGTGGGGGTTGGGGGTGTGGGAAGAGAGTGATGAGGGATTAGTACTAGAGGGGAAGAAGGCTAAAGGAGACAAGAAGCCAGCCTCCCTACAGGTATAGATGGATAGTATGTGGCTCCTGTGTTAACTGTGCTGCAAAGACCTTAAAACAGAAAAACATTGAGTCAACTAGGAAAATTTCTTTTTTCTTCTTTTTGAGACAGGGTCTCCCTGTAGCTCCAGCTGGCCTGGAACTCATTATATAGACCAGGCTGGTCTTGAACTCAGAGAACCACCTGCCTCTGTCTCCTGAGTGCTGGGGTTAAAGGTGTGTACCACCACACTCAGCCTGTTAGGAAAATTTCAACACTGGAATTTGATATTATGAATCCACTGTTAGTTTTAAGTCACAGTAATGACATGACTGTGTTTGGAAAAAGCCAGTCCTGCAGAGTCATATTGAAATATTTATGGATGAAATAATAAGTGGGATTTGTCTCACAATAATGGAGGAGGATCATGGAGGGGTAGTAATATAACTTTTACAGATATTACCCATTTTTCGTAACAGAAAATTTAAAAACTAACTCTTAGAAGCTAAAATAAGTATTATCATTGAAGCCTTTTGGTCAGTAACACCAGAATTCCTGTTACCTGCATTCACATGGAGAGGGATGCTTTCGACAATCACATGTGGCAGGGTGATGACGGTGCTGATGGAGGGGATGTCTTTCCCAGCTGAAGCCCTGTAGCAGAAAAGGTCAGCTTGAGACTCACACTTACGTAAAAAGCTCATACATCAAATACAGGAAATGTGTCTGTATCAACTAGTTTCAAAAGAAATAGAAACTGTCAATTTTCCCAAGCTTTGCCAATGAAATTTTGTTGAGAAGAGCTTTCAGAATTCCACTTTTGAATGTTCAGTGAGCAGATGTTAGAAGATGTGCCATGTGACTGTTGGGAGACATGGCAGGGGTTGTGTTGCTATCAACAGTTTGATTCAGTGTTTGCAGAGCAGGGTTTTTCCTCAATGCAAAGTACCACAGTGACTCACACTGTGACACAAACCTCCCTTACTTCCCTGGGATAATCTCAAGGTGGCCCCAGACCACGTTCAAAGGGCATAATTAGAACTCACTTCAGGTTCATAGTGCAAAGTGAAGGATTAAAACATTTTATTATCACTAAAAAGTATGGTGTCTAAGATGTATTTTATAGTTTTCAAATCTGTAGTACTAAGAAGCATATAGTACGTTTTACCTATTTTTCAATACTATATACATACAATTTGTCAATATCTAAACTGTTGCTTGCTTTGTTCACTTTACACTGAGATGCTGACAAGTGTGCCTCTGGCTTATTCACTTTCACTAATAAATTGTATCTTACTGTTAGAGTGGATCAAAATCTGTTCACTTTCCTATTGAATATTTAGCTTTTTCCTGTTTTGTCTTTGGATTTGGATTGTTTTGTTTTGTTTGTTTTACAGATCTGTTGTTGTTGTAACTACTATAACCAGTGCTGTTAGGCATAGTCTCATATATATCCTTTGTGTATATATACGCTCAGGACCTTTTCTAGGAATGGAGGGTGATGGACATTTTCAGTTTTACCCAGCACTGCCTAATAGATTTTGAAACAAACTTTTAATTCATAGTGAACATCTTCAATACACTTGGAACTGTTAACCCTTTTGGTAAGTAGGGGGAATACAAATCCTTAATGCAGTTTTAGCTTATTATTTCCCAATTGCTAGGGAGGCTGGGCTTCTCTCAACATGGCTGTCTGGCTTCCACAGATTAATTTAAGCCTCCTACTCAAACATTCTGTTCCACTTTGTGACAGGTTTCTTAGGATTTCCAAAGTTCTTTTTCTTTTTTGTCTTTCTGAGACAGGTAGCCCCAGCTGGCCTGGAACTCATTATGTAAACCAGGCTGGCCTTGAACTCACAGAGATCTGCCTGTCTCTGTCTCCCAAGTGCTGGGTTAAAGGTTTGTTCCATCACACTCAGCAGGATTTCCAAATGTTCTAAACATGAATACTAATCCTTGTCAGTCACACAAGTTGCAAAGATATTTTCCAATTTTACATTTTACTTTTCCATTTTCTTTATGATGTTTTTTACAGTTAATTTAAAATTTAACTTTAGTAATCCATTTTAGATTTGTATTTTTTGTGCCTTAAAGAAATTATTATTACCAGGCTGGTGGAACTAACCTTTTCGGATGTTTAACAGCTACACTTTGAGGTCTATGCTAATCTGGTCAGAGGGACTTAAAGGACAGTTTTTGCTCTTCGCCCTCCAAGGTCAACTAAGTTTCAGGGGACTATGGAGCATCTCTCAAAATGTCCTGTGGCTGTGGTGAGTCACCTGTCCTCTTTTTCAGGGAGGCCATGGACACCCCACCAGATGGACTTGAACCAGTGTCCAGTCTACAAAGAGGAGGGTCAACACAGAGGAAACATTTCCTCCACGCTTCCAAGTGAAGCCAGCCATGGTCAAGTAGGACCTTTGACTGATCTTCATGTAAACAGAATTGGTAGAAGGAGCCAGGGGCTCCTCCCAAGCCCTTGTGACCCCTGAGGAACAGATCCTCAAATGACCTTAAGAGTAAAAATAAATT